CTTTCCCTCTTGTCTATAACTTCCATTTGGGGATAGCTAGCTCAGATAGCCCTTGGTAGCTTTGCGAGAAATCCAACAAACAATCCAAGTGACACAAAAAGCCCTCATATCAGACTATTTCGTTGTGAAACGTACATGTTGGGTAGACTTGCTGATCAGTAAGTCCAGACGGACCAATAGGAAAACATAGACACTGTGACACAGTTGCGATCAGATGTCTCGTACAAGAAACCGTAAGCGTGACTAGCCGCAATAATTCCTGAAGACTGTCTTGGGCATCACATACATAACGTCTTTAAACTACCAGGCAACATCACAGAGCTTGGAGCTTCTCTGACTGCAAATGACACAGGATCTCCCGTAATCTGATTCATAGGATAATCAGGATTAAACCTCACAGTTACAGAGACTGTACCAATTAAAATATATTTTGATCAAAGCAAGCTACCTACTTAAATTAAAAACACACACAAGCTTGTAATGAGTATGACTAATTAAGTATACTGTTATTGCATTTTAACTTATAAAGATTATAATGCATTGTTTCTTCAGTTGGATGGTCTTCGAGTGCTTTTCTTAGTTCCTGATTATAGGGTGCTTTTCTTAGTTCCTGATTATAGGGTGCTTTTCTTAGTGCCTGATTATAGGGTGCTTTTCTTAGTTCCTGATTATAGGGTGCTTTTCTTAGTTCCTGATTATAGGAAACTTTTCTTAGTTCCTGATTATAGGAAGCTTTTCTTAGTTCCTGGTTATAGGGTGCTTTTCTTAGCGACTGATTATAGGATGCTTTTCTTAGTTCCTGATTATAGGATGCTTTTCTTAGCGACTGATTATAGGAAGCTTTTCTTAGTTCCTGATTATAGGAAGCTTTTCTTAGTTCCTGATTATAGGATCCTTTTCTTAGTTCCTGATTATAGGATGCTTTTCTTAGCGACTGATTATAGGAAGCTTTTCTTAGTTCCTGATTATAGGAAGCTTTTCTTAGTTACTGATTATAGGAAGCTTTTCTTAGTTCCTGATTATAGGGTGCTTTTCTTAGTGCCTGATTATAGGATGCTTTTCTTAGCGACTGATTATAGGAAGCTTTTCTTAGTGCCTGATTTTATGGTGTTTTTCATAGTGCCTCTATCGTTTCAATATTCCTAAGATGAACCAAACAATGTTAAGTCTTAAAGAGGCACGTTTCATCACCAAACCTCAGAGTTTCTATACACGTACTGTTGAAAACAATAACAACACGGGCCAAATGACATATCCTGCTTAAAGTAAATTGAATCATCTGAAGCGAAACAGAAAAGTGTTTAGTTGGCGAAATTTTTAAGCCATTTATTCCTTTCAAACTCTACTCACAAAGACAAGTTTTTTTTCCTCTTCTAGATTCTTACTTTTTTAGAACTGAACAAAATAAAGAAACATGCCGTTTCTTCGCCGTGTATATCAGCTGACTAGGCTTTCCGAGAATGCAAAAGCAGTATGCTATTTTTAAGTTTTAAAGTCACGTGATACTAAAGTAAGGGATATCCCTTTGTTGTGCAAATTTAACTGTTTGATAGGAGGAAGATCAGTGGTTTTGTAGAAGTGTGCAATGCTAGAGTACTAGCTTGAACTTTAGCACCAACTAACAACTTCCGAAACAAGGCATCAAGACTCTTCGATTGATTCCTTGAGTTGGACCTCAAAATACAGGTACACGTATCATTTTTCGTCTTTAGTCTTTAAGAAATGATCCAATTGTATTTATGTTGCTGAAAAGGAATTTCAGGGTAGCAGATTATATCACATACTTTATAGAATTCCAACTGCTTTCTGGACTTACAACGTTAGAAACCGGGTTTCGATACCCGCGGTGGGCAGAGCATAGATAGCCCATCGTGTAGCTTTGTGCTTAACTTCAAATAAACCCATCAAACAAAAATCCAATTGCTTCTACACTCCTTTCTGTCATTGCTTAAAATTGCGTTAATATTATACGAAACAAATAGTTAACAACTTAGAGAAGTAGTTAGGTTTAGGAGTTATGAATTGTTTGTGTTTCTGAGTGTTACAAGGGCACTTTAATTCTAGGCAACTTAAAATCAACTAACGTATTATACACGAAACTTGGTTTTGTGACAAGACAGAAGAAACGAGCGATTTGCCTATATTTTATTCATTGTTATTTTCACAAAAGTTTACAATGTAGTCGCGTGTTATGCGTATAGTTTACCCAAATTTAATATTGTCTTCTATAAAACCCTAGCGTTTTCGAAAGCGCTACGATTTTAGAGGGTTTTTCTTAATTTAATTTACTAACCCTTTTTTTATATCCTATTTTGTTTTTTATTATCTCGATCTGATACTTTCTTATTTATCTTAAATGGTTTGAGTAAAGCATTCGTCAATGTGTTCCGTAGACTTAATCTTATAAAATAACATTGTTTGGTTTGGCTGACAATTCTATAATATTCTGCAACAGTGCGCGTATCTGTCGTCAGAACAATATATATATAATAACATATATATAGTTGCGCGCTCATTTGTTACAAGAACTTGATGATATGCGTGTCAGGGCCACTTGGCAATGAAACCAGGTGCAACAAGTCTTTAGTTTCTTATTCTTTATCTTTTTATGTTGCTTTTCCCCTATTGTTCGTTCAGCTGATTTAATTAATATAGACCGAGTTATTGTAGTCATGTTTTATAAAGTCACTCATGAAAGATTTGACCATGAATAGAATGAAAGTTTCGTATCAACATCTACTGATTCAAACTATTTTAATGACTCAATGACAGAGGACTATTATGTAACTTAAAGAGGGTTGACTGTTCTTGAGATTACGTTAAAGCACATATGTTGAAAGGTTCTGTCTTGCTCTCTGTTTGGATGTGCTTAATACAGTCCCTCGGTGGATCAGCGGTAAATCTACTCCGGGGGTTTGATTACCCTTAGTGAACAGAATACCTATAGCCCATTGTGTAGCTTTTCACTAAAAAAACAACAGTGCTTAATACAAACTGATCCGCTACAAAGGTTTTTAATAACATACATCAGAGCCATAGCCACGATTTTGATTCGGGGTGATATCCCTAGAAAAATACTCTCACCCAAAATAGAAAAAAAATGTTGACACTCCCAGCACTCCGTTTGGTTGATATTTAACATTTTGGTGTATTTTTTTTTCTTTCCCGAAAAACGAACTCTGATTTTTTAATAGTTTCGATGAGGGTTTGTTTGTTTCTTTTTCTTTTTGAATTTCGCGCAAAGCTACACGAGGGCTATCTGTTTGTTTGTTTTGGAATTTC